GATCAAAGTACAGATTACACCAGCACAGGACACATTGGCCACCTCTGTCTGCAGTGCCTTTCCAGCAGGTCTAGTTCTAGTTACACCCCATTCGTGCTCAGAGAGCTTTCCTTCCTTAAATACAGTTTATACCCTAGAAACAGGGGTCTCTGAGCTTTGCTACAGTGTTTGAATAGCCAAAATGTCCTGATCCCATTTCTTTCTTTGCAACTAAAACATACACTTTCAGAATCCACAGCTCACAATTTCCAGGCTTCCATGGTGGCCAACAAGGCATCCTGAATCAGAGGAAAGGGACTAAAACATGAACCTGAAGAATCTGCTGGCCTTACCTAGGAAGACTGTCCATTCAACCCAGGCATTCAATCTTCTTGAAAGTTACTTATCTGCATAAAAAGCAATTTCTCAAAATCTTGGTAATGTGCACTGAACCAGGAATTGAGTGAACGGGAGCAATCTCTGGCTGTCTCTGGCTAACTCGGTGACCTCAGACATGTCTCTTTCCCTCCTATGCCAATGATCTCATCTGTAAAATGAAGACCAAAACAGATTATCCCAAAGGTTATGTATTCATGGAGCCAAAACCAACACCCAGGACCCAGCTGTTCTGAATCGCAATCCATTGACCTTCCCTTTCATCTCTCCTGCCTACCCCCCAGGTTATTACAGTGGTTCTAAGCACAGCTTAACCCTAACTGGGACATCCAAAACTAAAAGCATGCTGAAAGAATGAACTACTGATAGACACAACAACATGGATGAAACGACCAAGTCCCGCATCGGGCTCCTTGCAGGAAGCCTGCTTCTCCCTCTGCCTATGTCTCTGCCTCTCTCTCTCTCTCTCTCATGAATAAAAAAAAAAAAAAAAATCTTTAAAATAAAAATGGTAGGGATCCCTGGGTGGCGCAGCGGTTTGGCGCCTGCCTTTGGCCCAGGGCGCGATCCTGGAGACCCGGGATCGAGTCCCATATCGGGCTCCCGCTGCATGGAGCCTGCTTCTCCATCTGCCTGTGTCTCTGCCTCTCTCTCTTTCTCTCTCTGTGACTATCATAAATAAATAAATAAATAAAAAATTAAAAAAAAATAAAAAAAAATAAAATAAAAATGGTAAATGAAGTCAGACACATAAGGGTACATACTGTATGATATTTATATGTAGTACTAGAAAGACAAAACTAATCTGTGGCACTAGAAATGAGATTAACGGTTGCTTCTGAGGAAGAATAACTGTGAAGGAATTTAAAAGAACCGTCTGGAGTTATAGAAATGTTATCTTAATAGAAGTGTAGGTTTCATGGGTGACTGCATTTTTTTTTTAAGATGTTAGGAGAGGGGGGACCCCTGGGTGGCGCAGCGGTTTAGTGCCTGCCTTTGGCCCAGGGCGCAATCCTGGAGACCCGGGATCGAATCCCACGTCGGGCTCCCGGTGCATGGAGCCTGCTTCTCCCTCTGCCTGTGTCTCTACCTCCCTCTCTCTCTCTCTCTCTCTCTCTCTCTCTCTGTGACTATCATAAATAAATAAAAATTAAAAAAAAAAAGATGTTAGGAGAGGGGATGGAGCAGAGGGAGGGGGACAAGCAGACTTCATGCTGAATGTGGAGTCTGATGCAGGGCTCGATCCCAGGACTCTGAGATTATGGCCTGCACTGAATTCAAGAGTCGGACACTTAACTGAGCCACCCAGGTGTGCCAAGCATTTTTAAAACTAATCAGAGATACACTTTAGATCTGTTGTTTCACTATAAATATATACTTCAATTTAAGAAAACTTTTTAAAAAGAATGCTGAAGAATTTTAGAAGGGAAGTTAATCTAACATTTACTGTGCTCTTGCTAGCCCATTTATATATATTATCTCCATCTCAAACTCCTAAAAAGGGATTATTCCCATTTTACAGATCAGAAAACTGAGGTTTATGAGGCTAAAACAACTCACCTGAGGCCTTAAGACTAGTAAGTGTAGAAACTAGGAATAGTCCAGTTATAATAATATAACTTTATAATAAGTTGTTTCAGGCAGGGTGGGAAAGTTATTTTCAACCTTGGATTCCATTTGATTTCACTGCCATGTGATTCTAGGAAAGTCCATTTCCTTTTGAACCTCACTCTAGAGAAGATGAAAGCTCATAATTGTTTTGTAACTCTGAGGTTCTAGCAATCACAATATCTCCCAACCTCCTTCCCAGAATAAGGCATTAAAAGCAATTCCCATTTATCTCAGGGCAGACTAAGGAGTAACAAAAGCTCTTTGACTCTGGTGAGAGGATAAATCATCAACTAGGTCAGTGACACAAGAGCTCCAAGGTGACAGAACCCAGCTGCCTCCTATTTAAGAGATAAACCTGACTCATCCATCAGTGATGTAACAGAAAGGGATGGACTGGGAGTCAAGAGATCTGAATCTCACTCCCAGCTCTGCCTATGAGGCACCCTGTGACCTTGGGTAAAAACACTGCCTTTCTTGGGCTCCTAATGTATATTGCTAAAAGAGAGTGTTAGGCTGCCTGGGTCCTAATGTTCTTCAGCTCTAGTAGCTTGTCAGTTTAGGGAATCCTGTGTCCTGCTTCCACAGCTTACTAACTGGAAAAGAATGCTATTTTCCAGGTTCCTAAATGGGAGTCCATATGATATGGGGACAGTATGTATATATTTGTAAACATTTTATTCTAATCTTTTTGTCTTCATGTCACTATACATGCTCCAAAATTACATTCCTCCATTAGCAAATTCTCTTTTATCTTCCCTAAAGGAGACTCAGCAATGCATAATTCTACAACCAAAATACCAGCCCTCACCTGAAAAATTCTGCCCACACTCCCAGTGGGCTTCACTTGGAAGGAGTGGCCTGTTAAACCTTTGATGTGAATTGAGCATTTTATTTTTTATTTTATTTATTTATTTATTTGTTTGTTTATTTATTTATTTATTTATTTATTTATTTGAATTGAGCATTTTAATGGAGCATACCTGATATCTTGACAGCTCTCCTTTAGTGTTATACCTTGGGAGAAAATCTGAGTTTCCTCTTGTTACCTTTAGAGACCAAGGCAGAGAAACCAAGATAACTTCAGGACTGAAACTGCTGAGTTGCTAAGAATGCTCTGGGCTCCCACAGACCTCTATGTAGGGGTACCCCACAGAAACAGTGGAGCACAGGGGAGAAAGATCTGCCACTTACTAGCTATGTGTACCTTAAGGAGAAGGAAGTCACTTCATCTCTCCAAACCTGTTTTTCCATCTGTAAAACTGGGATTAATACCATTAACCTCAATGATAATTTTTATAAAGTACATAGCATAAAGGGCTCAGTAAACGTGAGATACACACACACACTCATTCACTCACACATAACCTTTCACACACACAGATACCCATTCACATGCACACTCATATACACACCTTAAAAGACTGGTTTAAGGATTAGAGTTCATGTAGTACCTTGTATGGGGCCTAGCTCAATAAATGATATTATGTATAAAAATATCAACACACTAATGCTCAAAATAGGAAAAACATTAGAGGTCACTTAGACTAGTGGTTCTCAAAGAAGTAACCCTGGACCAGTAGCATAAGTGTCAGCATCACCTGGGAACATGTAAGAAATGCAAAACATGTAAGAAATGCAAATTCTAGGACCTCACTCAAGATCTACTAAATCAGAAAATCTGGGAGTGGAATCCAGCAATTTTTGTTTTAAAAGCCCCCCAGGTGATTCTGATGCCCGCTTAAGTTTGAGAACCAGTGACTTAGAGTTTGACAAACTATTTTTATAAAGGACGCATAACAAATGTTTTAGTTTTATAGTCTGTGTCACAACCACTCAACTCTGCCAGTGTGAAAGCAGCCATAGATGATATGTAAATGAATGACTCTGGCTCTGTTCCAATAAATAGGCAATGGGGTTTTAGAACTAAATATAGGTGGTAGTTGTGTAACATTGTGAATGTATTGAATACCACTGAATTATCTGCTTTAAAATGGTTAATTTTGTGGTTTGTGTATTTCACCTCAGTAAACTACTTTTAAAAAAACAAGCAGGCAGTCAGTAGGACTTGGCTCACAGGCAATAGTTTTCTTTTTTTTTTTTTTTTTTTTTTTTTATTTATGATAGTCACAGAGAGAGAGAGAGAGAGAGGCAGAGACACAGGCAGAGGGAGAAGCAGGCTCCATGCACCGGGAGCCTGACGTGGGATTCGATCCCGGGTCTCCAGGATCGCGCCCTGGGCCAAAGGCAGGCGCCAAACTGCTGCGCCACCCAGGGATCCCCGGCAATAGTTTTCTGATGTCTGACCAAGATCAACCTTAATTCTTGGCTTAAACTCATTCCAGGTAACCCTAATTAGCAGTTATGTAACATCTGCTTGAATAAGACAAGTCACTACCCACAAAATAATATTTTTTCACTACAGACAGACCATGATTCTCTCTGGAGAGTCCCTTTCATATACAAAGCCAAAATCTCCATCCCTATGCCTTCTACCCATAAGGAGCTTACTTATGGGATCCTCTGTTTCACTAAAAGACTCAATGCCAGATTGCTTTAAAGAATGAGATCACTCTAACTGGAGAAATACTGAAGAGAAACATGCTTCTGTGCTAAAGAGAAAATATAATCCATTAAAGATACTCCACAGGGGCACCTGACTGACTCAGTTGGTAGAGCATATGACTCCTGATCTCGGGGTTGTGAGTTAAAGTCCCACATTAGGGGGATCCCTGGGTGGCTCAGCGGTTTGGCGCCTGTCTTCGGCCCAGGGCATGATCCTGGAGACCCGGGATCGGGTCCCACGTGGGGTTCCTTGCATGGAGCCTGCTTCTCCCTCTGCCTGTGTCTCTGCCTCTCTCTCTGTGTCTCTCATGAATAAATAAATAAAATATTTTAAAAAATTAAAATTAAGCCCCACATTGGGCGTAGGGATTTCTTAAAAATGAAATCTTAAAATAATAAAAAATAAAATAAAAATCAGCAGGGTGGACTGACTTCTAACATACACACACATGCCCATTAGCTACAGATTTTTATTAGATGAAGGATGTCTTCGGTTAGCTCAAAGGAAAGTGGTGACAATCGGCAAGCACTCCTCCATACAAGAAAGGAAGCATTCTTGGCTAATGGGGATGGGTAGTTATGATATCTAAAGGTCAGTGTCTTCTGCTTAACTTTGACCACCCAGGAAGATCTTCCCCTTAGCACTCAACATCACCAGTCCTGACATGAAAGGGTCTGCAATGAGCTAGTTCAACTTGGCCAACAGTTCTTCCAGTTCTGGCCGAGCTTTGAATCTTCCCTTGAAGTCTTCTTCAGTGTGCTGGGGAGAAGAAAAAGAAAATAGGAATTACTACAGAGCTCTCAGTTATTCAAAAATAGGCAGCATTAAAAAAAAAAAATCCATCAGCCAGCTCTGTAGAGAATGATTCAGATTCAACTAACTTTTATTTAGCATATACTATATACCGACTTGTATTAGGATTCTGAATCAGACCTCCTCCATCTTAAATGAACTTAGGGTCTGAGAGACCTAAGAGAGAAAACCTAAGAGAGACTTCTGAGAGAAAACCAACTATAAAAAACTAATGTCAAAAAAAAAAAAAAAAAAAACAACTAATGTCAAATGTTATAAGTATCTCATTAGAAGCACTTAGAATGCTCACATTCTCCATCTACAATCGGAAATAATAGACATAGGGACTGGAATATTTAAGTCATCATGACTAGCACATTTTCTCCTGTATACAGAATATGTGAAACCCAAATAATAAGAGGATTAACAAGCATGGAGTCACAACAAGGAGAACTGGATGTTGCAAATGGTATCAGTCTAAAGTAACCTGGTAGATCTGTCACAATAAGGCTTTACCTATTTATGCTGAGGCTCCTAATGTTTTCCAAGTTTTCCATGCCAAACTTCCTTCTGATTGGCATACTTTTCTCAGTCAGGCTATAGTCAGGCCTTGAAGATCCAGGAAATTCCTTAAAGTACATTTCCCTATTTGTGTGTTCATTAATTATACTGTATGTAATTTTAAATCATGTTCTTTCTATACCCAATTACGTGCTCACCCCTAACATCAGGATATTGTGATAGAGTTCAGCTCCTGTGGTCCATAAAGCATCAGCCTGGATGCACTGGAAGAGTTAGGAAAATGATCACGATAATACCAGTCTGCATACCTTTCCTGTTTATTATCCACATTTTTGTCTTGTTTCTAAAGCCAGATGCTTTTAACCATATTTTGAGCACAAGTGGGCCACCAGGGGGCCTCTTCTCAAACTAGCACCTACCTCCTTCACTGACAATCTGACTCCTTCAGGAAGATTGCTTTGGATTATTTCCAAGAAAATCTCTGCAAATGTAGCACTCAAACCACTGATCTGCAAAAGGAAAGAAGATACTCTAAGAGAGGGTACTGAAAGTCAGGTGATTGGGCAGACCTGGCATGGGCTCGGTATCAGCTTCAGCAGAGCTACAGGGCCCGTGGGTACAGGGTTAACATGCAGAGCTGGTTTCAGAGCTCAGCCTCTACAGGATTTCTCTTGCAACAGTCAAGGTGTTTTTAAGTAGACTCCACACCCAGTGGCACCTGGGTGGCTCAACCTGTTAAGAATCTGCCTTTGGCTCAGGTCATGATTCCAGGTATGATGGAGCCCTGCCTCCCCTCTGCCCCTCTCCCACTCATTCTCTCTCTCTTTTTCTCTGTCTCTCAAATAAATAAAATCTTTTTTAAATAAGATTTCATTTATTTGAGAGTGAGAGAGCACACATGCATGTGCACAAGCAGGGGAAGTGGCAGACAGAGAAGAGGTCCCCTGCTGAGCAGGGAGCCTGATGTGGGGCTCAATCCCACACCCCAGGATCATGACTTGAGCAGAAGGCAGACGTGTAACCAACTAAACCACTCAGACCCTCCTCAAATAAATAAAATCTCTCTTTTTTTAAGATTTTATTTATTCAGGGATCCCTGGGTGGCGCAGCGGTTTGGCGCCTGCCTTTGGCCCAGGGCGCGATCCTGGAGACCCGGGATCGAATCCCACGTCGGGCTCCCGGTGCATGGAGCCTGCTTCTCCCTCTGCCTGTGTCTCTGCCTCTCTCTCTCTCACTGTGTGCCTATCATAAATAAATAAAAAATTAAAAAAAAAGATTTTATTTATTCATGAGAGACACAGAGAGAGGCAGAGACATAGGCAGAGGGAGAAGCATGCTCCCCACTGGGAGCCTGATGCAGAACTCAATCCCTAGATCCCGGGATCATGCTCAACCACTGAGCCACCCAGGCATCCCAAATAAATAATATCCTAAAAAAAAAAAAAAAAAAGAAACAAACAAACAAACAAAAGAAAAAGTAGGCTCCACATCCAGTGTGGAGCCAGGTAAAGGGCTTGAACTCACAACCCAAGATCAGGACCTGAGCTGAGATCAAGAGGTGGACACTTAACTGACTGAGCCATCCAGGAGCCCGAATATCTAATTATCTTCTTTGTTAGCACAGATTTAAGGTGTTACTACCTTAACATTCCTTTCATTATCTTGCTGATATACTTCTTGAGTGGATCAAGAGGGGGTGACATCCATACATTAGAATATTATTTGGCAATAAAAAGGAATGAAACACTGACACCTGCTACAACATGGATAAACCCTGAAAACATGCTCAATGAAAGAAGCCAGACATAAAAGGCCATATATGGTACAATTACATTTAAGTGAAATGTCTCAAAGAGGTAAAACCATAAAGGCAGAAATAGATTAGTGGTTGTCAGGAGCTAGGGCGATGGTGAAAGAGGAGTGACTATAAACAGGTAGTTTCTTTTTGGGGCGATTAAATTGTTCAAAAATTGATTGTGGTAATGATTGCATAACTGAATATATTAAAACCCATTTAACTGTACACTTTAAAAGGGTAAATTGTGGGATCCCTGGGTGGCGCAGCGGTTTGGCACCTGCCTTTGTCCCAGAGCGCAATCCTGGAGACCCAGGATCGAATCCCACGTCGGGCTCCCGGTGCATGGAGCCTGCTTCTCCCTCTGCCTATGTCTCTGCCTCTCTCTCTCTCTCTGTGTGACTATCATAAATAAATAAAAATTAAAAAAAATAATAAAAAATAAAAGGGTAAATTGTATATGAATAAAACTCAATAAAGATGTTATAAAAAGGGGTGATAGTAAGTATGAATTTTTAATAACCCTGGGTACCCTCATGGTAGTGTGGTTCTATGTTTGTCTCTGCAGTAGAACAACAGAAACTATGGCTAGATTTAAAGGTAAGCCACTGAGGGGTTTTGCTCTGGCAGGAAAATGTCACAATCACACTGGTAAGAGGGTAAGGCAAGGGGTGAAGCTATAGAATTTGGTAAATGAATGGATATCAGAGGACAAAGAAGAGTTAAACATTAGCTCAAAGGTGGGGAGGATTACAGAAAAAGAAAAATGTCAGTTCCTCTACAATTAGTTTTATATGCTGAGTATAGGACACCTGTGGAATATCCCAGTGGAGAAGTCCGGTAAACAAGTGGATACTAGGTTTGAAGCTCAACCAAAAAAATCAGGACTGGAGATGTATATCAGGGGGTTATCAGTATATAACGATGGTCACTGAGGCCAGGAGAATGAATGAGATTGCACGGAGGGTAGGTATTACATAAGGAGAAATGGAGGGATCAGAACTAAACCCTAAAGAAGGGACACCTGGGTGGCTCAGCGGTTGAGTGTCTGCCCCTGGATCCCCAGGTCCGGAGATCAAGTCCTGCATTGGGCTCCCTACAAGGAGCCTGCTCCTCCCTCTATGTCTCTGCCTCTCTCTCTGTGTGTCTCTCATGAATAAATAGATAAAATATAATAAATAAATAAATAAATAAACAAACAAACAAACAAACATAAAGAACATCATCATTCAAGGAGCAGCCAAGAGGAAGACGAGGGCATTGTAGAAACAGAAAAAATGGGCAGAAGAACCAGGAAAGGCAAATATGTTTCAAAGTTTCTCCCATAGTGCCTACCTGAACCACTCGTTCATGAGTGGTAAGAACTGAGTCCAGGAGCATTTTGTTACCTTGGTCCTGCAGCCGCAACACTTCCATGGTTTTGGTGGGCATTGCATAACTGTGGGAAGAAGAGTTGGCCATGAGCAGGGCTCACTGAAGTCAGCAGCACCACTCCAATCAGGGTAGTCCATGAGTACAGCCCCTGCTGCAATGCAGTAGCTCCTGGAATCTAGGGCTGTTCATCTGCAGCCAGGGGGAAGTAACCAGATCCTCCTAAGCCTCCTCCAAAAGCTTCTAAACTCCCTGAGGGGACAGACCATGTCTAATGCCTTTCTGCATCCCTAGTTCTTGCCTGACACAACATTGCATAAACCTGGTGATTAATAACTATTTGCTGCTCCTAAAGAAAAACCAATTCCAAAAGAATCAATGTCATCACTTCTGAGGCTAACCTTGGGTAGTTCACCTCTTCTGGAGAAATGAGGCATGAAACCCAACTGTTTTCAAAGAGTAAGATTTCTCAACCTCAGCACTATTAACATTTTAGGCCAAATAATTCTTTGTTGTGGGGGACTGGCCTATGTATCCCTAATCTTTACCCACAAGATGCCAGTACTACCCTCTGAAGTGGTAACAATAAAAATTATCTCCAAGGGTGCCTGCGTGGCTCAGTTGGTTAAGCGTCTGACTTCAGCTCAGGTCATGATCTCAAGGTGCTGGGATCAGTGGCTCTGCCTTAGGCTCTACACTCAGTGGGGAGGCTGCTTCTCCCTCCCCCTGTTTGTGCTCTCTCTCTCAAATAAATAAATAAAGTTATCTCCAGACATTGTTAAAAGTCCCTGGCTTGAGAAATATTGTTGTATAGACTATGCTTGCTATGATAAGCTCCAGCAGATCTACATGCTGCAGTGAAAACACTGGATTTGGGGTCAGATCTTAGCCCTACAGCTTATTAGCGATTTTTACAAAGGTAAATTACCTGTCTCTCTGGGCCTTAGTTTCTTCCAGAATAAACAGGATTACAATCTAGGTCTATATCAGTAGACATGTGGAGATCAGGCATGGTGATGAGATTGGACCAATGGCTACACAGAAATATGGTATTAGTGTTGTGTTCGTCTTATCAAAAAGTTCATCAAAATGAAGATAAATGGGATAATAACAAGTTATTAAAATTCCTGAATTTTCATGTTACACAAAACTTCATCAATTGATAGCAAGAGGCATGGCCCTCTATGAAATGAATAATGGAAAATGGATTAGAAAAAAAAATGGATTAGAGACACAACAGTCAGTCCTGGATTTAAGTGTTGACTCTACTACTTATTACCAAATTAATTCAGCTTTTGAGTCTCAGATTCTTCAGCTACAAAATGGGTATAATAAGGATAATAATAACTGGTTCATAGGGTTGTTGAAATGATTAAATGATATTATATAAGTAATTTGCTTGGCATAATATGCCTATAACTGCCAGTTCCTTTTTTTTTTTTTTAAGATTTCATCTATTTATTTGATAGAGCACAAGCAGGAGGAGCAACGGAGAGGGAGAAGTAGGCCCCCCGCTGAGCAGGGAGCCCAGTGCAATGTGGGGCTTGATCCCAGGACCCTGAGATCATGACCTGAGCCAATGGCAGAAACTTAACCAAATGAGCCACCCAGGCACCCTTCCTTTGCTCTTGTAAACAGTAAATGCTAGGTATTACAAACTCTTCCAGGTAACCTCCCTAAATTAACATTCCTTCTTACTTTCCAGCACAATCTCTAATCTCCTCTTCCAATTCAAATTTGGCAATAACTTCCCTACATAAAAAAAAATAAGGACACATTCATAGACTTGTCAGGAAAGATCAAATAAAAGTAAGTATATAAAGCTTTCAGGAAAGTTAAAAGCACTCTGAAATGCTCTTTTTCCTTCTTGACATTCTGTAGATAAGATCGCCTGACTAAAGTGGGAGTTGTCCATTCCTGCCACTGAACATGCATTTTAATCTTCCACACTTACTTTAGCAAGAGTTCATTGATTGATTGATTGATTCATTCATTCATTCATTCAGCATTTACTGAAAGCCTGTTCTGTCCTAGGCATGCTGGTGGGGAATATGCAGCCTATGCTTTAAAGGAGCTTGCTTAGAGTGTTTTGGAAAGACAGACATCTTCACTACAGTAAGACAAAAAGCAATAATAGGCATGTACTGAATATTACAGGGACAAGAGAGAGAAGAGGGGCTCAAGGAGGGCTTTAGAGGTGAGACAGCATTTTATCAAGATGTTAAGAATAAACATTAGGTGTTTGCCTGCAGGCCATTCCAAAAAGTGAAGCAATTTTCTACAAAAGCAAGGAAGCATGAGAGGCCCTCAAAGAGAACAGAAAAGCCAGACATAGTTTGATAAGGAAATACTGGGAGCCCTGGTCATTTTAAGGTAGAATAGATTTTTGATAAGTTAAGAATATAGGTAATTTTTCTTTTGTGTCTACACTTTTCTGTATTTTATAAATTTCCTGCAATAAACATTACTTGGATGATCAGACAGGAAAAACAGAAGGGAAGAAAAGAAATAACCTAATGCTAAAAGTCAATCTAAAATGACAAAATAGGGGACGCCTGGGTGGCTCAGTGGTTGAGCATCTGCCTTTGACTCAGGGCATGACCCTGGAATTCTGGGATGGAGTCCCACATCAGGCTCCCTGCAGGGATCCTGATTCTCCCTCTGCCTGTGTCTCTGCCTCTCTGACATGAATTTAAAATAATAATAATAATAATAATAATAATAATAATAATAATGACAATGCTACCTTCAGGGAGTACTCCCTGGGATGGGACACAAGAGAACTTCCTGGGGTGCTAGGGAACTTAGAATCTGGACTTTACTAAATATAAATTATACCTCCATTTTATCATTTTAAAAGATTCATTTATTTATTTTTTTAGAGAGAGAAAGAGACAGAGCAGGCATGCCCAAGCAGCGGAGAGGTGGAGAAAAAGAGTTAGAGAGAGAGTGAGTCTCAGGCCAACTCTCTGCTGAGCTTGGAGCCCGACCATGCAGGGCTCCATCTCATAACCCAGACCACGACCTGAGCCGAAATCAAGAGTGGGGCACTTAACTGACTGAGCTACCCAGGCACCCCTACTCCTCCATTTTAAACAATGTAAGTGGACTTCAAGAAAAAGGGGGAAAAAAAAAGGAAAGAGTAGCCTTACAGAGAGTGATGCTGAATGATGCTTTTACTCTCCACAAAGCACAGGGGCTAGAACAGCTTCAGGTTTGGAAGCTGATCCCAGATGAGTAAGATTTCCATCTCCAGGCAGCTGCTCAGCAAGGAAGGCAGGCAAATTGAGACCTGTAGGATAGGCTTCTTCCTCTCTCCTAGGTGAGTTGCAGCTGCAGCAGTACACACCATTTATAGAACAAAAAAGCCAGCACACTGCTCCCCTGCCCAATTTCATCTCAAGGTCAGAGCCCTACCCTGCCACTCCCAGAGGAAAAAATGGATCATGATGAAATGAAAATCAGAAGAAAAGAAAATCATTTCATCTCTGAAAAGCTGGGCAGTGAGAATGCCTGACAATACGATGGTCTGAAAACCTCAATCAATGCAGAGAAGTGAGTTGCTGAAAGTGAACATTTCTTTATGTTCTGTGCTATTTGGAGCAAAGAGCAGAAAAGAGGCAAAAAGCAGAACATCATTAATTCCACTGTTCTAGGAATCATGTCTATGACTACTGGAACTCAATCCAAGTCAGTGAATATTTATTCAGTACTTACTATGTGTCAGGTACTGGGCAAGGTCTTAGGGTTAGACTGTTAAAGAAGATAGAATCAGTTCTTGCCTTATACACCTTTGAGTCTAAGAAGGAAGACCAATATAGTCACATAATTATAAGGACAAGGAATGAGTGCAATGAAAAGGAAGTTATATAATCTTTACTTCTCCTAAATATATAACATAAAGATCTAATTTAATGAGGTTCTCTGAAGAAAGGAACCTCATCCAATATGAAGTATAAGAAAAAAAGTAGGGGTTAGGTAAAAGAGAAAGAGTATTCTAACTTTTAGAGAGCAAGAATATGCACAGGTCCTGAGGTGGAAAGGGATAAAAACCAAACCCATGTTAACTGGAGGGAGAAGAAGAGGGAAAGGGAAATCTGAGTTAAGGCAAGAGAAGCAAACCCAATCCATAGAGCACCTAGCAAGCCATGGTAGAAACTTGAATAATGATCCTAAAGGAATAGGAAGCCATGGAAGGATATTAAGCATGGTAGTAACATGCTCATATTTCCATTCTAGAAATGGAAACACTGAAAGCTGTGTGGAGAACAAATTATGAAGAATTGAGAATTTGAAAATAGTGGGTTCAAATCCAGACCTTGCCATTTATTAAATGTATGATCATAGGCAAGCTTCTACTATATTAATAATAATTACTAATAATAATAGCAGCCAATTGTTGCTGGGAACAGTTATAAGCACTTTAAATATATTATCTTCCTTAATTTTCACTATAGCCTTTTCAGGCAGGAACTTTTAGTAACTCCATTTTATAGACAAGGAAACCAAGATACAGAATTTAAATAAACTGCCAATGCCACAAAATAAGAATGCTGCAGAACAAGAGTAAAACCCAGGCAGTCTGGCTACAGAGTCAATGTTTTGACTCATGAGTATGTGCAAGGTGCTTATTGAATTAAGCAACATTATACAAAAAGCCAGAGTGGTTGGCTGATACTAGGTGCTCAACAAATGCTGCTGCCTTCCTGCCTTTACTCAAATGAAGCCAGAACTTTCCACAGCTAGGTTTTAAAAATAGCACCTTTTAAGAAGTCCTTCTGAAAATTTAAAGCATTATTCCAGGAGCTGACCTACTGTAGATTTGATAATGTTCTGTAAATGACATTTAATGCCTCTTTGCCACCACTAACACTACCCCTAATTCCTGCTACCTAAAAAACAAAACAAAACAAAAAACCCTCATTAATTATTAATAACAAGATTATTTATAGGGCATTTGCAATGTTCCAGTCTCTCTGCTAGGTGCTATCATATACTATATTATTCAATGTTCAGAACTTAACGGAATAAGAAAATTATCATTCCCATTATATAGATGAGGAAAAC